TATTTATTTATTTATCAAATTTGTCACTGCCCATCTTGTTAAAATACATCTCTGAGTGGTTTACAAAGCTCTAAATCAATTAAAATTACAGTAAAAAGTAATCTTAAATAAATAGAAAATAGATACAATCCAAGGGTAGATGTTAAAATTGGCAGTAATCAGGGAGCATCATCAAGGCACCAGCCACCCCAGGATTAGATAATGAATGCCCATTAGGTTCTCTGCCCATCTGTTTTTAATGTATTTTAATTTTAAAAGAATAAATGGGAAGTCCTGCCTTTATTTCCAGAATGTCTCTGAAATCCACATAGATGCCAAAGGCATTTTTAGAGAATAAAAACGATGAGTATCTGCGGTCTGTGCCTTCCTTTGGAGGGGCCTACCTGCATAGAATAAAAGAAATGAGCATAAATTGCTCTAAACATCACTGCCAGCACACCAGACGGTTGGAGAGCCTCTCTTTTGATGTGGAAGGAAGGTGATGAGGAAATATATCATCTTTCTCAAAATGGGAAATGCTACCAGTTTACAGTTCCATAAAACCTTATTTGCCTTTGACATCTCAGGAATATTTCTTGAGGCCTTAGCGATATGCAGACTGATTCATGGCAAGTCAAGTGGGGGATCAGATAAATCCTGTTGAAGCAGCTGGAAACCTCTCCCCTTGTCCTGCTTGACCCTGACCAGCAGCAGAATATCTCTTAAAGGCTAACTATGCCCTTCCTGTTTTTCAGATCTCCTTAAAAGAAAACAAGGAGAACAGCCCCCCAGGGGCCACTGAGGATCAAAGTCCCCATGGAGTTGAGGCCAAGAGGAAACCCCAGTCTTCTGGCCCGTGCTGCTCCTTGAATCTTGATGCAGAGACTCCACCAAAAGGGACTGACATCCCGTCCCTAGTCAGTGCCAGCACACACGATTCTCTGCCAGAGTGTGAACAGGACCTGGTCATGGCTAAACGGGTGCGCCGTTCTTACAGCCGCCTGGACGTCTCCTTGACCCGCAGCTTCCTAGAAAAGCAGGAGTTTCCGAGCTGCAGCCTCGCTGGCACCTCCACGCCCACTTGCGGCCCTGGCAAGCGGCAAACCCTCTTTGGTTTCGAAAAGCTTCTGCTTCCAGGGGAGCTGGCTGATCTCTCCCCTCTGAATGCAAATGGTGCCCCAAAGCCAGCAGCTGCGGAAACCGGCGCCTTCAAGGAGCCAGACACTGACATCCCCGGCATCTCGTTCGGCAGAGAAAAGCGCAGGAAGAAGAAGGTCCCGCAGTTCGATGTGAGTATGACTTTGGACACAGTCAGGGAAGCAGGGCTGTGGCTACTCGGCCCCTTGGTGCAGACGTATTAAACCAGTGTTGTCCAAACTTGGCCACTTTAAGATGAGTGGACTTCAACTCCCAGAAGGCTGGGGAATTCTGG